AATACATTTCGAACAATCTGATCACATTTTTATATGAAAATTAAAAGGTCAACTAGACAAATACATGAAGTACATAAAAACAATGTGATAATCACTCGGTAATAAATCAGTATTACCAGGGTAGGTTAAGGGTAAAAAAAGATTGTTTTTGAATACATACAGAGGGTTTCAGTTTCCGTACTATACGTCCTTGAAGGCTTTCGTATAACACTACAAATGCCGACTTGATATCGACCTTATAACGAATCTTAACAAAATGTTTCGTAATGGAAGACGATGTCTGTTTATCCTATGAACTTATTTAACCATTGGGATTCATTTGTTTCTGCAGCTATTTGGGTATGTGTTCCACCATCGTTAATTGCTCCTCCCTATGTACATGTTCCGCACGTATATGTAAATTGATAGACACAATGGGATGTGCTGTTCGGGTTTTTGGTGAAACATAGACCTTGTATTTCCAATAATGCCAATCCGGGCTGAATAAAATGTCCTGTTGATGACTAATTTCGATCTCCGTTTCAACTTGAGACTATTTGGGTAGCCTCTAAATGATAACTGTTATGTCCTTTGTCTGTCTACCCACTCTTGGTGCTGAGGATACTTATCTAATCCAGACTAAAACCTTGGGGCGATAGGCTGACCGACCCAACCTTGAGGCTAGTACGCGTGAGTTCGAAGTGGGGTAGAGAGGAAACTATTCTACCACCTGATTGGCTGACAAGCACGCGAATGAGAAGACAAGACAACTGGAACACTACTCGATCTATTCCCGATATCCTGATTTCAGTTCAGTTCGGGTTAGTGTAGAAAGGTACATGAATAAATAATGAATAACCCGACCATAAAGTACAATAATTAGGAAAAATACAATTATGTCCAATGCTGGAAATTAGCGTAGAAAATAGGGTGCAAAGTATTATGTTTAAATTACAATAGCTTCGGAACAGAAAAGGGTATGGCAATGAATCATACATCGGACGAAAGCTTATGTTCTGTAGAATAGAATAGGGACAAAAATAAATGTTAGTGTTTTACAAGCTTTGAATAAAATGGAATAATGTCCCGCAAAACAGCTTTCGTAGTTTGTCAGGGCTTCTTGTTTCCCTATTCACACCAGTAACATAATGTAAACTCGCTTTTTGGCTGCCAGAAGTGTCATAGGTCTAGCCGTATTGCAACAATTCCAGCGGTTTATGAACTTCAATGAATAATAGTTAGTCATTAACGTTTTAGTCACTAGCTTCGTCTCTACTTCAGTAGTATCGTTAGTACAAGTATAATTGATTCTATTGAATAAGCCTCTTATTAATCCACGTTTGTAATGAATTGGGTAGTCACTATGGAAATAAAGATATTAGCCCGTCCATGTCGGCTTTGAATGGAACCATCATCTCTCCTACCAATCAGTACGTCTAGAAAACGGCCGTCCAGTGCTTCCAGGTTTTCCATGGTGGTCTAGCTTCAACTGACTCATGATTTCAATCTGTGAAAATTTCTAAAACTCTCCACAAAACCCATTCTGAAAAGGAAGTTTGTTATTTTTCTATTTTCCACATGTAAGAGAAATATGCTTTTGACTTAAGTTCTTTTAACAAGCGGTTCACATCTTCACGTTGATCCCCTATGATTATCATGTCATCAACGTAGCATTTATACAGACACATCTATTGAATTGAGTCTCCAGCTAGATTTTCAACATATCTCATAAACACATCTGCCAGAAATGGTCCTAAACAGCTACCCATAGCTACGACATTGACTTTTCGAAAGTGCTCACCCTTAAAAGTGAATTTTACATTGTCAGTACATAATAATAACAAATCTTTAAGAGTTTTAACAGGAAATGGCAATGGAAGGTTATTCAATGAGATATTGTCACATAAAATATCAATAGTTTCCCAAAGAGGTATATTTGTAAATAAAGTGTTCACATTAAGGGAGAACATTGTCTTTGTTTTTATATTCATGTTCATTAAGTACTTAATCCAAATAAGTCAATCAAGGAATAATTACAAAATTGATTTCGGATAGGGTTTAACATCCTTATCAACCATTTTTCAAGGTTGTATGTAAGTGACCGACACAATGATAGAATTGAACGTAATGGGGTATTAGGCTTATGAATTTTTGGTAATCTATATAAATTAGGATACACTGAACCCATAGATTTTAATGAATTAAACTCATCCTTGTCAATAGCATTCATGTTTAATAATTTCATTAGATTCAAGTTTACTTTTTTAATAAAGCTACAGTTGTTTCTTGGGAGCTATGGTCATGTACTTAGGTCTCCACGATCACACTTCACTCAGCTTTCTTATCTAGCCCCTCAAGAAATATCCCTCCAAAGAATGGACCATCTCTCTCATACCTATAATAGTACTCCAGATTACCTTGCTTACAATTGTTATTGTATGAGGCTTCACTTCAGTTAACATCTATTATGGTGTTTGAAATTTCCTGGTTTAGTGTCAGTGGTCTTGACCTCTAACAGCACTCAAGATCGCTGAGACTAAACCAGGATATTTCAAACACCATAACATGTTCACTGAAGTGAAGCCCCATACAATAACAATTGTAAGCAAGGTAATCTGGAGTATTATTATAAATATCAGAGAGGTAGTCCATTCTGTTCAACTTTACGGTTGCGAAAAGTGGCCATTAAGAGCAGAAGATACTCGTAAGCTACCAATATTTAACTACAGGTGCCTTAGAAATAATGCTCCCAACTGCTGGGATCACCAGGTAGGTAATAGTGAGGTTAGACAAAGAGTATTAAGAAATGATAGTAAATCAGTTGATGAGATTGTGAATCTTTATCGACTGAGATGGTTGAGTCACGTGTTATGTATGGCTGAACACCGATTACCACGACGAGCAATGCTGACCAGTGTTGGAGATGGTTGGAAGAACATTATGGGTGGCCAAACCAAAATGTGGCATCAGTGCTTACAGTCACTAACTTCTAGTCTGAGTCATGTTGGTAGATGCAGATTACTTGGTTGGGGTCCGTGTGACGATCGTAACCAATGGTTGGAGACTGTGTGTGACATGGCTCAAAATCTATCACAATAGCGTCGATGTATACACTCTCTGTCATCCTTTAAACTCTGAGATTAAAATCGTTTCATATCTTACTTTCTACGAACTAACTGTTTTTTGCTGTACTATGTCCTTATATGCCATCTTCCTTTTATACATTGTCACCATTGTATTAACTACTTCTATGAATCCGGTGTTCATGTTGTTGTGCTAATGAGTGAGGTATGGCAACTTGGACCGATGTATATGTGTGTCTGGTCCTACATTGTAACTGACTGACTAACTAGTTTAGTCTCAGGTACGGTTATGGATGTATTTTGAAAAGAAGTCTCAAACAACAAATTGTCTAAAATTCACCAATTTTGAATGTGGCATCTTAACTGAGACGAATTTTTGTTGAAAGAAAATCTTGAATTAGAGCATTATCGAGGACTGTATTGAATAAATCGATATAACTTGAATGGTTTCGATCAAGATTTGAAAAGTATATAACTGATATTCTGAACTATACAATTTCGAATAGCGTGTAGATGAATCCAAATAATGAATGTTAACAGGAATGAGTTCTAAGTGTTTAGTATTGTTTTTTTTGTTTTTCAGTTCAGTTCATTCTTTCATATTAACTAGACAATTTACTGTTGTCTTTCACTATTTCAGTTTTGGGGTTTAACGTTAATTCATTCTATTTTAACATAATTGTTCAACGATAAAATCAAGTGACTTCAAATTACTACTTAATAATGACTTTGTTATTTTCATAGTAAAAATATAAAGTAGAAGAGAGAGTCAATCAAAATTGAGGGCATTACATTTAAGTATTTACGTACATTTTAAGGATAAGTGGCTTTTATATAAAGATTTTACATAACACAAGAATCAATTAGTTTCCTCTTTGTTTCTAGTAAACTATTAGTTTTTGATTAACATCATGAACCGATAGATGTTAGATCACCATTGAAAACCTGGAAGCAGTGGATGACCTCAATCAAAAACTCGATAATCTCCACAACCTCTATACTAATAATTACCACGTGCTCACTAGTGAAAAGCTTCGTGAGGGAATTCTTGGAGTTCTAGTGAGAAACCGTGACCAGTGGAGCTAATCCGTGTCGGGTAGAGACAGGTATCTATTTCAGTACAATGGAAGATGGTCACTCAATTTCGTGGATTGGTTGAGGTTAGACAATAACACCATTGAATGGTGGCTTAGTGGTCCAATAGGTTAGGTATTTGCGCGCGAAACTGAGGCCCTGGGTTCGAATCCCGCGGGCGGATCGCAGATGCGCACTGCTGAGGAGTTCCACAGTAGGCCGAAACGGCCGTCCAGTGTCCCCAAGTTCTCAATGGTGGTCTAACATTAATCGGTTCATGATCTTAATAAAAAATCTAGTATGAATAGACCTACACTTAGAATAATAATGTTATCTCATGAAATTTCTGGAATATTAAGACCGGAAAACTGGTAATAAACTTTGAAAAGCCAATAAACAAACTAATTTGTTTCGAAATACTTTTGGTTTATACGAACTTATTGCTCAGTGACTAAAAAGTCCTTTCAAAATCAAGGAGCCAATTTAGCAATCGCTCAATCTCCTCCTTATACTATACTTTTATCTCACTAACCAATAAGTATATAATTACTATTTTACCATAGTGTTTTGTTTGGAAGAGTTCGTACTACTTGAAAACAATTCTCTCATTCTACTCACTGAGAGACTAGAACATTTTAAATTCAATCTTGTAAGTGAATGTGAACGATAGAGAAGTTGAAAACTAGGATGATGAAATAGTTTTTCAGTGTTTCTTGCTTTTTCATTTTATCTTACATCAGTATCAGTTTATGGTAAGCAAAATATTGCCATAGTTCTTAACTTTGAGTAATAATCCAAGCTCATATTGAGTTGAGAGTTATGGATTAGGCAGGACTTATCTTTCTTTGTATATTTCAAACGTAGAACCTGATAAACCACATCGTCATCCACCGCCACCTCAACCTACTGATCATGACCAAACAAAACGTTTAGACGATAAACCAAGCCCAAAACCAGGCAGAAGATCAGGCCATGGAATGGTTTCAGGTGAGTAATTTTTTAATACCTTGATGTTCTTTCAAACTAAATTATTGTTTGCTTGTCTTTTGGAAAAAAGCTACGAGGTTTCAGTTATATATTACTGATGGGTGCTCGTAATTATATCTGAAACAGCAAGGGGAAAAACCGTAGATGAGGCTGGGTTCGGGGTTATTGCTGGTGATTTTCTCGGTTTTACAATCCCCTTATGATCACTTTGAGAATCACAAGGAAATTTCTGTCACCATTTGTGCATCATATGAGTATAGGAAGATACTTTGTTGCAAATAAGATTGAATGACCGATTGATCTTCTCTGAATCTGGATTACAAATAAGATTAAATGGGTAATCAAACATTTTCAAATTCTGTGATCCAGTCAAGACCCAATAAATTAGAGGATTCATCAGTAACATAGCATTTAGATTTGACTGTTGAATCACTATTTAACAATGCATTTGATAATTCCAGAAATTTTTACTGGGATGCTCGATGCATTTTTTATACAATCATTTGTAGAATGAATGCTTAACCAACTAAGTTCGTGCCGAGTTTTACGACAAAGCAAAAAGACATCAGATGCAGTGTCCAACTGCAAAGTCATGATACATTCATTAACACTAATGGATAAGTACTTACGTGAGCATCAGGGGTTAACATAACTGATTCTTTTTGGCATCCGATAATGAGATGAGGGTTTGTCGCGTTTGAACAATCCTTCCTTATGACCCGTTACTCTACATTTTGCTCATTTATATTTCTTGAATGGGCGGAAGCAGGAAAAATGCCATGTGCCACAGTTCCAATAAGTAGTGGAAGACCTGATTAGCTCTCTATAGCACATACACGTGTGTGTGTTAAGAATCGTAGACTTGATGGTTTTTTCTTCAGTAGAATTGTTATCCTCCTCAACAGTGCTCATCTACGATCCCGTACGTGGGTTTCGAACCTATGACTTCGGTCTCACGCGTGAATGCTTCAGCTCTAGACCACTGAGCCGGAACCTAACGGTTTCACTGAAATTTTGTTGAAATAAGACAGATCCGATTTTTGTACACTGTTATGGTTTTAGACATAACTAGCACTGTCATATAGTCTATAGTATGTTTTGTGAACAATCCTTATTTGAATATTTCACGAGACATTTTTCCCTTGATTTTGTATGCTTCAAGAATTAAAGTCTACAATATCTTGCATATATTTTTGTAATAATCACACTATATTCTAAACAAAAATCAGTGTTTTTGTTTACACGTAACTCAGTTGTTTTGTCAAAGATTCGATAGAATTAACCTCTTCAGTAGACTGTTTACTTGATTATGCGGTTAGATTTGCTGAATTCAATGAATATCGAAGACCACTGAATATCTTTTTAATTCTAATTTGAGACCTCTCTGTATAGCTCTTTTTAAAGTAATCAAGGTTTTTAGTTGTATGAAAGCGATATTGTTATTAAAACAGGTAATGGGCTCCATAATCTATCATATAAACTGAAGGGCATAATGAGCATTTAGTTAATTGATGAAAGATCATATATATCGATTATTTATTTATTTATTTGAACACATAAATATTGGTACAAGAGGGCACCAAATATATATGCGCCACACCATATTTGTGTGTGTGGACTTTGATACTGCCCGGGTTCCCAGACCGAAGCAAGTGGTTTTCCTAGAGAGCCACACCCCGAGCATTTGACCTAAAGGTCTGATCCACAAGGCAGTGGAGCATCGTGAGGAGATGCAGTTCCATGGTAGCCGGTGACCAACGATTGGTTCATACGCCATGTGTTCCTTAAGGATACTGGAGTCTATTTGCACCATTGGTTTGGAATCCGGTCAGACCGCCGGACATTCGCTTTTCGTCCTCTCATTTTCATAAACAACACCCCCGCCATGAGAAGGCAGTGAGTAGGACTTCCCTGGCAGGGGCTTTATACGCGTGGCAATGTGAGAGCATTTCGAGAGGGAGGGCGGGCCCACCCCACTCTCGGTCATAACAGGGCATTTGGGGGCATATAACGGGACATATATACCGATAATCATAATTATGAGATACATGAAATGATTAAATCTAAGAACTCTAAAAGCAAATCACATTTCTTAGATCTTAGAAATAATTTTCTGATTTTATATTTTTTTAGTTGATGAAAATTATTATGTAAATGTACCTGGTTCAGGTCCACCAGTTATTCGTCCACCATACAATGGACACAAGAGATCACTGCAAGATTTAAGTGAACGTTCCGGCCCTCATAGTGCTTATGATCCTAGATTGGGCGATACAGTTATTCAACCAAGTAAACCTAGAACCAGTGATAGAATATCGGATCAAATGCCTGATTATTATGATCAATATACATCGGATGAAAGTGATTATGATGATTCAGGAGAATCAGATGAAGAACTTAGACCGCCAGCATTACGTACAATAACTCAGACAAGGAGACGATCTGAACCAGAACCTTCGAGTATGTAAATTTCTAGTTACACAATTACTTTTATGGAATATTTTTGATTATTTATGGAACTCAATAGAGTCAAATTTTATAAATTATTCTGTAACTATTTGAAAAAACAACAGTCAGTCATCCTGTTACGTATTTGATTTGCTTCAAGCTGTTTAACCATACTAACACAAGGAGTTGATTTTGAGATGAGTAAGAAAGGAGTTGAAATATTCTTAGAACCGATGACGTTGAGATTAACTAACCATAAAAAGTATGATGTGAAAAGACAGAGTAGGATATTATGCATGAAAGAATACTGGGGCTCAAGATCTATAAGGAGATAAAAAGTGAATATATTTACGCGACTGTTACTGATTTTAAGCCATGTCGTCCAATGTTCTCAACCACTGTTTTCATTCTTCTCGAGGATCTTTAACCGATAATCTGGTTTTACCTATACGACTCAAACTAACAGCTAATGAATTCTCGATTATCTTATTATTATTGTTAGCTTTATTCGCTGTTAGATTTTTGGTACAATATAAAATTCTCAGCACAAAGTATTTCAACAAGTTTCCGTTTCTTACTTCTTCGTCGATCCTGATGACAAATATTGAGTCGTCGCTGGCTAGAAGTTCTAGCAGTTCAGGAATCGACATCTGATGACAGGAACAGGTAGCCCAGATGTTCAAGCATTAATAATGCTCATTAAAAATACCATAAAGGTGTACTAAGAATTTAAAATACGCTATATTTTTTTCGCATCGTTACACAGTTACAATAAATTACATTAACATCAGACTGGATAATAGACTGACTAAATAATTCAGTTTGCCATTCCTAGTCATTTCTCAATCTTTCGACTACCATAACGGGTTGGGCAATCGGATGGTTGTGAAATATGAAAGTAACTGATTGATTCGAGACACATTCCAATAATTAGAAGAGTGTTTCTTAAAATTTTAGATTTTGTGTGTTTGGTGGTAAATTTAGACAGTTTGGTGGATTATCGACTTCATGAGTTGCGATATCTTAAATGTAAATTTAGTTAACTATAGAAAAGTCCTTGCTACAGCTTACAACTACACTCTTTACTTATCAGTATCGTCTAAAAGTTGGTTACCTAGTCAGTTTATTTACCAAATTTATCTAAATACTGCTCCGACTAAGTTATACATAATGTTGTCTACCAAATGAATGTTATGTAAAGTTTAATGTAAGCCTCTGTATCTGGTTGTAAATGATTTGTTATTAGGTTAGATGGTCAATATAAATGCTTTCTTCACAAAACATGAGTATTAAAACAGAAATGTTCTGACATTTTGACCTTTCTTTAGATTGGAACCTATTATATAAATGATGGATAGTGGCTAGCAGTGGAGTCCTGCTTATGCAATGAGGTGAAGTTTAAATTCATTTGGTGCGATTCTACTTGTAGCTAAGTGGATAACGAGATGGCGTTTGGAGCGAACAGTACTGGGTTCGAGTCCCAGAGTGAACGTCAACTCTGAGATGCAAGTACACCCAGCTGACGCGTCCCGAATAGGACGAAACGCGTGTCAAACTGGACTCCGCTGCTAGCCACTATCCGTTGTGATTTAAGGCTATATCGAGGCAATCCTCACAGGGATGCACATATGTCAACATGAGACTGATCGATTGCAGTCCTAAATAATAATGAGAAGATACAAGTAAAACAACACCAAGTGAATCTATTATATAAAATGCTAATATTAATTAAATTTATCAGGTACTTAATTATTATTGAGTTGTTTATTGATTATTTATTTACAAATGCCCAATGAAGACAATTATCCACCTGTACAATTAAGAAAACAGTCAAAAGGACAAAAAACTGGACAGTCAATCACATCAATTCGTGATAGCCTTATTAGTCCTGAAGGTATGTCGATTCCTTCCACTCCGGGTTATGAAAATATTTATGGTATTTATTATAATGATAAAACAGGTAAATACATGAAAGGACTAGATCGTGATCATTCAAATGGAATGTCACAAGAACGTATATCACGACCACGTTCTAAACATACAACTGCAACAAGTCGAAGTTCTGGTTATTACGGTGTTAATGGTAAGTAATTATGGAATCAAATTAATGGGCTGATCAAATTTTTAATTAAAAGAAGAATTTTCACTATCTGAACTAAAATATTAAAAGTACATAGATAGTGTTCGGAATGTCCTTCGACAAAATTTAGAAATCCAGGCTGAAAATGTTCCATCCAATCATCATTGAACAGAAGCTACGCAGAAACATAAGGAAAGATTATTTGTCAAGTTTGGATTGTATAATTATTTATATTATTACCATATTCAGCATGCTCTCAGAAGTTTCTAGGAAAGAAAGGTCATCTGAAAACCCATAAACACACCCGACTGTTCGTCCGTAAATTAATCTTGGAGTAAAACGTTTCCTCATATTTATCACCTTTTCTCTGTTGATCAAGTTAAGTATAGTAATAATTTATGACTATAGGAGGTGGCTGAGAGGTCAATAACAAGCTTTCAATTGGAAGATTTATCAGAGTGTGTGTGTGTGTGTGTGAATATAAACACATTCATTCATACACATGACTTTTAGCTATAATCGTTATTTGTGATAGTCATGTGTACTGAGGCATGTTAAGTTTAATTCGAACCAACAACCAGTTGGTTGAAAGCTAAGCTCTTTTGCGTTTGAACAACTTCCAAGAAAGTAATTGGATGTTAGACCAGCGTTTGGTTCTATTTTTGGAGGTAGTTGCTATTCTACATTTGATACATGTGGACTAATGAACCATTTCACTTTGCCAAATATTTCATCTTCTTTGAAATCTGGACCCAATGAATTAGGGAATAGTCCAAGGTAAAAAAAATGGAATTCATTTAGTATACTACTTTTATTATCCATTAACATATTGTGTAGCCTGACAATAGAATGTTCTCTAGTTGAAACTCAACTTTAAATCTGTTTATTCGGCTGACGTTTTTTTTTGTAATAATTTTTGTGTAAATCATTGTATACATGCTACTTGGCTGATCATTTTAGTGGTGAATGATACAAGTAAGTTGCGTTTAATAATTTAACGATCATCATAACATCAGTGCATTGTTTTGCAAAGATTGTAAACCTTTCATAGTCTAAATCACGAACCGATCTTAAATAGACTACTATTGGAAATCAGAGAGAACTGAATGACTATTTCACCCTAGTATGTTGTGACTCATCAGAGGTGTGCATCCATAACTAGTTTGAAGTTGCGACTCCTGGAGTTTCATTGAGACTGTGACCACTGGAGTTAAACCATATCAAGTGTGAAACAATTATCCTCATCAACTAATGGATGAGAATTGAGCATTATCATGAATCAATTGAAATTAGACACACAAACTGTTGGATTATGAGTTAGTGTTCTATAAGTTAATTGTTCACATGTGAGATCGATGATCCTGGGTTCGATCGCTCATGGTAGGATTGTGAATGTGCATTACTGATGAGCTTTATACTAGGATGGAACATCTGTTCAGTAGTTCCAGGTTTCTATACTGATCTAAGTGAGATCAGTTCGTGATTTAAAAGCTACGAATATATCATCATACTATTTAAAAGAATTGTTCATCATTTATTCATTTTGTTGATGAGTCTTTTCCCTATTACTAATAAACTTCTATTGTAATATTTGATGTAATTTCGGTTTCATCTAACATATTCATACATAGATATCTTAAAGGAGAAAAAGAAATTAGATATAATTCGCAGCCAAGCTTTGTGTTTGAACTCACGCTGAGTTATGTGTTCCAACTGTTTAGTGATTTTTTAGTGTTATCAGTCCTTAGAAATCAGTTAAATAAATAATTGGCGACACTATATTTTAAAGACGAACGAATCAGATTTAAGATAACAGGTCTCGGATTTCGGCGCGAAATTCATTCATCCAACTGGCTAAATAGAGTTTTGGCACTACAGCTGATGTCAGTTTGTGAGGATAACCCGAAATCTAATTCCTAACCTTAACTATCAACTGTAAATTATAATTCTAATTCCCCACACTGTTTTGTAACCCTCATTTAGTCCTAGTTAGTAGGTGAACACTCTCAAGGTCAGTTTAGCGTCACTCAAAGGTCGTCCATAAATTATAGTCTCAGCAAATAATTTATAATTCAGAACATTTGTTGAAATTAATCACTGACTGATTTATACGACACTTCAGCAGTACGCATCCATGAAACCACCAAGTATTCAACCTATTATCTTCAGGTCTCGCAGTGAGCTTTCAACTTCAAACCATATTAAATACATGATACTGTGGAACTATTATACATTCCCAATGATAATATTATATTCTTTCGTACCTGATATGATCAAAATATTCTAGTCATATCCATTTCTTCCCGTACTATGTCTTTATATGCAATCCTTCTTTTATATATTACCACCATTGAATTAACTACTTCTATGAATCCGGTGTTCATGTTGTTTTGCTAATTAAGGTATGGTAACTTGGACCGATGCACATATGTGTCTGGTTCTACGTTGTAACTTACTGACTGACTTCTAATCACTTCTCTTAATGTTTCTCACTAGTAAACATGAAGTGAATTGTTACTGAAAGAGTGATTTGAGAGTTTTGTAAACCTTGTAATTTTAACCTTTCCCTTAACTAACTTCAATTACATTCGAATGGAAAATTAAGGGTTTTTAAGTTAACTAGATACTGCGTGACTTTTTTTTTCTTAAAAAAAGAAACATCTCACCCTAACTTTACTTCTGTCATCATTGATCAATCGATTTCTGTATGGAAACTTATAGCAGGTTTGCCTATTTGAAATTCATTTCTAATATAACCTGTATAACTAGAGCATAGATACAACTAACATACATTTTCATCACCAGTTTGTATGAAGAAAATGAACATACATCAGATGTTTTTGTTATCAACTAAAATCAAATAATTGTTGTCATTATTTGTCATGAATAATTAAGTTTAGTTAACTGAATTTATGACTTATTTTCATTTAAACACATAAACATTGGTACAAGGAGGCACCAAACAGATATGCACCACATAAATCATTTGATTTATGTGAGGGCTGAGATACTTTCTGGGTGCTCAAACGGAAACAGTTGGTTTTCTTAGGGGGCCACATTCGGAGTCTTTGACCTAATCCACAAGGCAGTAGAGCAACGTCTGGAGACGCAGTCCCATGGTGGCCAGTGACCAACGATCGGTTCATACTCCATTTGTTCCTTCAGGATACTGGAGCCCATATACACCATTGATTTAGAATCAGGATTTTCCAACTCCCCTAGGTGGATCCTCCATGTCGACTAAGGCGGTAAAAGCGCCGGACATTCACTTTTCGTCCTCTCAATTTCGTAAACAACACCCCCACCACGAGAAAACAGTGAGTAGAACTTCCTTGTCAGTGGTTGTATGCATTCGAGCGAGAGAGCTGATTCTCCCCACTCTCTTTCGTACCAAGGCATTTGGGGGCATTTAACTGAATAGAGTGAACTACAGCGAAGGAAATATTGAAGTCACCACATTCAAAATCTTCGATGTCAGTTAACTAATTTTTAAATATTAATTAGAACTAAAGATCCACACAAGAAGCAGTAGTAATCATAAAACTTCATATTATTTTCAACTGATGAGTATGAAAAACCAAACCCAGGGATTTATGTCTTTTAGATACAATTGTTCAGTAAATTACACTGTATAGTTAGTTACAAAGTGACTTAATCATACAGCTACTTCTTGAGGACCAAATTTTGTCGTATACTAACTAAACAATGAGAAGCTTACATAAAGTACTGATTTATTATTTAGGATGAAGTTTTGGTCGAAAGAAAGAATTTTTTCGAAAATTAAGTATTTTTCTTGAATATTCTGTCACGATAGTTGATTATTCATAGACAACGTAAGATCTGGTAGAAAATTGTCCATAGTTTTAAGTTGATACAATTCATACCATGTAGCAAGACGATCAGAGGAGACAATAATATCAGATGCATCCGTAAGAGTCTGTACTTTCCAGTTCTTGACGTTTGTTGATCCGTATCATCATGGATGATAGAAACTTACAAACATATGCGAATAAAATTGATACCTGTTGCACCAACCGTTGACTTTCTCTACTCATTAGCTTAGTGGATAACGTGTTAAAACTTGAAATGAAAACAACTGGATTAAAGTCCTTATCTGAACACCAACACTGGGATGTAACTACACTAGATGCTAAGTTTCGAACGGGACGAAGAGAGAATTCTGGATTCCACTGCTATTCACTATCCAGCTTTAATAAAAGTAGTGATTGTAGTATAAGGCCAAATGTAGGAAGGGTATTTCAAAAGGGGCGAATGGAAATAAAGAACAAGCAGTAAGGAATTGTTGTGATTCGCTGTGTCCAATAATTATACTGGCGTGCAATTTTCCTATATACCTATATGCCTTAGAAAATTAAGCCACTGGCGATGTATATTTTCTTCCCTAGAAATTCAAGCTACTTTTTGACTAATCACATGTGTTTAGCATTTGACTGATTTCTGATAGACCCGGTGTATAACCTTTTCCTCTTAAATAATAGGTCTGGCTTCTCAGAGTCAGCTGAATATGTTGGAATACAGGCGCATCATAAATGACATTAAACTCAAGATTTTAAAAAAAGATCACTGATGTATCCAAGTCCAATATTGTAATTGTCATAGATTACAAATATCTTACGATTTACAACTTGATATTCTACAACTACCGACATAGTTCAAACTGATAATCGATAATTACAAGAACTGATACCATATATTGGTTTCCCAACCATTAACTTTGTTTCAACTTAATCCTAAGTCAGTCAGTCTTATACATTGGGTTAGATATGGTAAATGCTTCCCCTATGTAAGGCAACTGATGTTTACATTACCATACCTCTCTTAAGCTATACACTTCACCCTAGCATTGTTCACCTAATGGTTCCATTACATGAGAGAAATGTTTTGAATATCTACCAACTTTCTATGTCTTTCTGTTTTAGGGGCCATGTTTATATGTACTATACTTGTATAAGTTAGCTAAAAATTATCAGAACATTGAACAACTTCATTAGTTCGTAGTATATAAGTAAATCGAATAAACACTTTTTTTAATCGTATATGTTTTTTCTAAGGTTCAAAACACAGTTTAATAATCAGTACAAAACGTCGAACACTAAGTGGTTTAACTGGTACCCACCCATCAAAACATCGTTCCAGTTCAATGAATACTTTATGGTTCGGTGATCATCCTGTACCATCGGAACATACAATCTCGCCAGCTACACCAGTTAGATTATCAAATATACAAATACAAGCTCAAGCAGAACTTGAACGTCGACACAGATCATCTTCACATGGACATAGTTTAGATAGAAAATCTATATATAGCACAGGAATGACAGAAAGTCATTTGTCCAAAGGTTTAAGTGATTATCATCAAGGTTATGAAGGAATTGGTTATGCATATGATAATCGAGGAAGATTAATACATGGTGGTGCATGTTTACCTGAACGTTCAGCTAGTCGTAAACGTCGATTATTAGATGGTCATGAAAGTTTATCAAGAGTATGGATACCACAAAGTGGTGAACACTATCCAATTAAACAAATATCTGATAAGACACCTAGTTCGCTAATGAGTAAGTTCTTATTTCCGGTATATATATATATATATATATATATATATATATATATATATATATATTCATAGCATGCTTAACATAGAAATTAGCTTAAGGTTAGTGTCGATTAACATTCGATACTTATTACTTGGTAAGTCAGTAACTCTTAAGAAATGTAGAATTTGACACATATACACATAGATTCAAGTTACCACGCCACATTAGCACAGCGAAATGAAATTATCAAGACGAATACTAGAATAGAAATAGTATTGGTGTCAGTATTTGGTGTAAACAATGACTGGAGAAAAAGAATGACTTCACAGAATAAAAACTCTAGGGTAATTTTAAAGCTCAAAGTCTAAAAGAAGAAAAAAGTGAATACATCTGTATTATTAAGACATATTCTGGGTCGTGTCATCTAACATCTCCAACCATTAGTGAGCTGCACCAACCAACATGGCTCTATCTCACAGTCAATGACTTCATAGACCTATTCCTATATCATTAAGCTTTGCAAATCAAGGTCGTTGATCCCTTGGCATACGTAATACATGTCCCAACCATCTTTTAGATAACAGACAATTGTTTCATCATTGTATCAGTCGAATTTCTGGTGATTAGTTTTAACTTGTAAAATTATTCGAGTCAAGAGTAAAAGTGATGAAATTAGTGGTTAGGATAAAGTTGAAAAATATAGACTTTGTAAGTTTAAATCATCGAGACTGTAAGATATTCATAGTTTAAATCACAAACTGATCTCACTTAGATCAGTATAGAAACCTGGAACTACTGAACAGATGTTTCATCCTAGTATAAAGCTCATCAGTAATGCACATTTACAATCCTACCATGAGCAATCGAACCCAGGATCATCGATCTCACATGTGAACAATTAACTTATAGAACACTGACTCATAATCCAACAGTTTGTGTGTCTAATTTCAATTGATTCATGATAATGCTTAACTCTCATCCATTAGTTGATGAGGATAATTGTTTCACACTTGATATGGTTTAACTCCACCGGTCACAGCTTCTAACTTACGAGTAAATAAGTGTAATTATCTTGTAATCTTCAGTGATTATGTACTATCTCTTGTGTTTTTTGTCATTTCGGATTCCCTGTCCGGGTGATTTTTGATGAACTGAATATACGAAAATCATCTATACAATAATTTTTTTTAGCAAAGAAGTTAAAATTGAAAAAATTCTAAATAAAAACCATCTTAAAGTTACTGACATTTGTCTAGAGAGAGGATAAGAAAGACCGAATAATAATTAGTTCTATGAGTACTAGATTGATTTGAAATGATAGAAGAAGAAATGAACAATAATATGTGATATGATGAATCATTTCAAGAAATATAACTTCTATGGACATCCAAGGTAGTTTCATTAGTGGTATTGGAGGTAAGGCAAGTTTAGTGCTACAAGTGGAAGAAATTTTGGAAGTGATAAAATTTATATAAAATGAAAATTGATGTCCTCAGTTTGCGTAGTTATTGAACAGTAAACGTTTATTTATGTATTAGGATGCATAGTTGACATATACACTCAGAATCAATTATATCTATAATCTTCTCTTATTTCAAAGAACTTTTCTGAGTTTCTTTTCAATATTTCAATGATTGTCGTAACTTTAACAGATGAATTGATTATAACTTGTGATCTTGTGCCCCTATCAATATATATATATATAACGTAATGATACCGCCAACTAGAGAGCAGTAATTTATCGACCAGACCAATGACATATAAATCAAGTACGAGCAGCCTAGAGTGCTTATCGGTCCTGCTTCCCGCCTAGCCCTGACTATTACGTCCAGAACACTAATATCAACCTCTGCGATATGAATCATTTATTTCAAGCATAATAGGTTTATATACCAACCAGACAGACTACATTGTGCCATAAAATAGGAAACGACATTTGTACAAGAATTAGCCAAAAATAGTTGTGAATGTAGGAGATAGTAATTAATAGACGGGGTATAACTCAAGAATAGTATAATAGCAGTTTAAATAACAGTTAATAGGTCCATAGAAACACTAATATAAATAGTTTAGTTACTTAACAATTATACAATAAAAATATATCAGTTTAGGGGTTGTGGAGATTGTTAAGTTTTTGATTGAAATCATGAGTCAATTGAAACTAGACCATCATGGAAAACCTGGAAGCACTGGACGGCCGTTTTGTCTTAGTATGGGACACCTCAGCAGTTCGCATCCACGATCCCGCACCCTGTGAGATTCGAACCCAAAACCTATCAGTCTCGCGCCAGGCGCTTAATATATGTATAATATTATTCCACAAATGGATCCAAATAGTTACTATTCAATATTATCGTCAGGATATAACAGAATTTTTGTTTTAACCGAAGTTAAAAAATTTTTCCATACTAATTATAATCACATAATTGATCAAAGGTTGTTAAACTATTCATTATTTTATAACTATGAAACCCTATGTACACCATTAGTGTATAATCAAGGTTCTCCAGTTCCACTTTGATGAATTCTTCATATCTACCAAACCCATTTAATTACCGGATATCATCGCATATCCTTTACTTTTTCGGAACACTGCCACTAAGACGATATGAGTCGAAATATTTCAAGGAATAATTTTACTTGATGGTACTAAATAGTCTGTAAATTCCTCCTGGACACTTTATCCTTACTTACTTACTTAATTACGCCTGTTACTCCTCGTGAAGGAGCATAGGCCGCTCACCAGCATTTTCCATCCAACCCTGTCCTGGGCAATCCTTTCAAGCTCCTTCTAATTCCTATTGATGGACACTTTATCCTGTTTTTTATTTATTAACTAATCAGCTTAAATCAACTAATCATTTGTCTATCGGAATTTTAGATTGATTAACAATGTATAGAAATAGTTATGCTTCTCTCAGTTAATAATCTTTCACAGTTTCAAATCAGATATTGCCATCTGAAGTTCTTGTAGCTTAGTGAGACAATAAGGTATGGTGAAGGTATAAATTATGTTTATTGTTTCTTTGATTGTTACCAGTATAAATTCGTTCTTATTATCCTACAAATGTACCCAGGACGAGACGGCCGTCTACTGCTTCCAGGTTTTCAATGGTGATCTAGCTCAGATTGACTCATGAATTCAACTATTCTCATTATTATCAGAAGGGGTTTGTGGAGATTTTAGTAATTTCAATAGTTGAAATCATGAGTCAATTGAAGCTAGACCACCATAGGAAAACTGTAAGCGCTGGACGGCCGTTTCGTCCCATTATGGAACTCCTCAACAGTGCGCATCCACTATTCCGCCTCACGAGATTCGAACCCAGGACCTATCACTCTCACGCGTGAGCGCTTAACCATTAGACCACTCAGCTGGCCGACATCCAATTGTGTTAATGTTTAACTTCAACCAATCATTATCTTGCAAATGTACCCAGTTATGTGATATATAATTTCAATTTGATATCTAATATTCATTATGTTAAACAAACTTCTGAAATCTATGTCATATCATTTAATAGCTCAAAAGAGTCTTATAGAAGGACTAGACGATCGTCTACTGCTTCCAGGTTTTCAATGGTGATCTAGCTTAGATTGACTCATGAATTCAAGTATTAAAATTACTATAATTTCTACAAATTCCTATTGTGATCAGAATAAATATTTTTTTGTCCTTTTGATAATTTTTTAAAAATTGATTGTCATATAGATCGGGATGAACGGCAAGCACAATTGGATAATTCAGCGATGGCATTTGCTTTACGGGATTTTAATGCGCCTAAAATTCGGTGAGCTCAAACAATATAACAGTAATATTCACATTACATCTATAATATTATCTATCTGTCTATCTATCTATCTATCTATCTATCTAGACAGAAACGGGTTTCGAATAAATCCCATCGGAATAATGATGATGATAATGCTAATATTAATAGTAATAATAATAACGATAATAATAATGTTAAACATGTAACCCATCGTACCGCTATACGCAACAAATCAGATAGCATTAAGAAACATCAATGCAGACCATCCATTCTCAATTGTTGTATGCGATAATCTTACATTTCTTTGCTTATATCATCATGATCATTATTATCTAATTGGCAATGTTTAATTAACCCTGATTATAATTGATTTATTTTATTCATTATTATTATATTTTCTTATGATTCCATTTATTTTTTAATTGAGTAAACTAATTTCTATACCTGCATAGTGATTAACCTTAATCTATGGCTGTGACCTTTCATGAAAAGTTTTGGCTTGTGTTCAATTTTTTTTTATCATAGTTACATCCACAAGTTTTGTGTGTGTGTGTGTGTGTGTTTATGTTACACAAGCACCTAAACTATCAACACAAAAACAGAAAACATATCAGTCCAGTTTAATTTTTCCTTTTTTTTAATGTTTTTAACCAAGAAATATGAATAATTTGTTTGTTTATTATTTTGTTTTTATTTACACCGTTTTCAATCAGTATATTCCCTGATTGCTGTGAATATTACCGAATAACAAAAGCAGTTTTTTGACTTTTATTTTTTTAACTACTGATTATAATAATATCAGTAGTAATATTAGATCTCAGAGATTTTATACTCGTGTATGTGCGTGAATCAAAACATATGTCTAGATTCTATGTCCATAGTATCATGGTTTCCTAACATACTATAAGGTTGGTTGTATTAGGAGGGGGTTTTATGGAGTGTTCTCTCACTACAATGCTACTTAGGTTGCCTAAAATGGAGTAGATAAAGTGTGATTTGAAGTTGTAACATATCATTCGAAAGTCGAGTAAGTTAACCGTTAAACTATTGGCTCTGTCACTCTAATGATTATTAAATTGACAATTAAGAGTTGTGAGCATCCACGACCCCGCCTGCCGAGATTCGAACACAGGACCTACTGGTTTTGCACGCGAACGCTTAATCTCTAGACCATCCAACAGTGTTGATGTCTAACATCAACTAATCCACGAAATTGAGCCACACATTCATCATTGTCATCAGTGAGTTACTATCTCACAATAGATCCGGTTGAACTCCACTGGTCACTGCTTCTCACTAGAACTCCAAGAAGTAGTTCTTGAAGCCAGTCTCTAGTGAGTATATGTTGAATAATATCAGAAGAGGTTTTTTGTGGATATTATAGTAATTTCAATGGTTAAAATCATGAGTCAATTGAAGTTAGATCAACATGAAAAACTTGGAAGTACTGTTTGACGGCAGCTTCATCCTATTGTGGGACTCCTCAACAGTGTACACTCACGATAATTGTCTGTTATTTTCATCCGTAGTATAATATTTGTCGTGTAAAATGTGTAGATGATTAGAAAAACGATAGAAAAATTAGAAAACAGACAAAAACAAAACAACAACACTGTATGAGTGAATCTCTCAGTCAGTAATTATTTAAAGTAATCTAACATCATGTGTTAAAAAATCGATAGTTTTGTTCCGTGAACTTATGTTTCAATACAATATAAACTGTTTCAAACCGTATATTTAATATACATCTACGTTATTGACAATCAATTTTAATTTGTATGTTTAGCATTTAATATGTCAATGATTATGTTTATTGCCTATTACAATGTTTTAGTACTTAAAGGGCGGGACTATAATTTATGGACGAACCAATCACGTATAAGATAACAGGTCTCGGATTTCGGCGCGAAATTCACTCATCCATTTGGCTAAATAGAGTTTTGGCACTACAGCTGATGCCAGTTTGTAATGAAAACCTTAAATCTAATTTTTGACCTTAATCATCAACTGTAAATCATAATTCTAATTCTTCACACTGGTTTATAACCCTCATTTGATCCTGGTCAAATACATAAACTGGTATGTGGTAAGCGAATATAACAGTAGCATTAATAATAGCACACATATCTAAGACTCCTGGAAAAAAAACTGTTTCCCTGCTGCTTACGCCTGTTGCTCCTCGTGGAGCACAACCTTCTGGTTAACATCTTTTTATTAAGATTGTGTTTTACGGTATTGGGTTACTGACCTTATGCTCAACCCTCCTCCTTTACCCGGGCTTGGGACCGACAATAACCCTAGAAGAGTTACAGGCAGAGTTAAAAACCATTACTGTCCCATAAATTTGAAAACACTTTATTCTACAGTACACCTTGTATGTAAGGTAAGCAGTAAAGAGCCCATAAATAATTTGCTCATAAAAACATATTGCTCCATTAAATTTATTTTGTGATGCTAATTATCGTCATACTGTCTTGATGAGTGTTAGGTAGTTTGAGGTAGGTGGGAGGAAACTGTGATTGTTTTAGGCCCCATGATAGTTGGTATTGGTTAAAAAGGTTTGGTCGCAAATTTGAAGGAAACCAATGCTACTTATAGCATTTGAGCCAACGTCACATTGTCTCATAGTCTGAATATGAATATTAGTATTAATAATAATAGTAGTAGTAGTGTGGTGTATGCTACTGGTGTTGACACGTATAAGCAGTTTGTATCACTATTCGAAAGTGGAATGACTGGCATCAGAAGGTTGACAAAATCGAAGAGAAGAGTGGTTGATGTGGGAACGAAGGAACAACAAAGTCTGAGACAATTGATGGATATTTTGCAAATGAAGTATTTACTGTATAGTTCTAAAATTTTACTAAGAGATTCTGTAATTTTGTATCCGCATACATATGGTTGTCCCAATTTGTGTTCTCGTTCATTACAGCAGTAGTAGTAGTAACAGTAGTACAGGAAGATCCACGAATTAAATATGGTCATAAAAATAATTTATTTAAAATTATTGTTTGATTTGCGTCTGTTATGAGTCACCCGTGCTTCTGGCTTACGGGCTGGGACGCATCGAATAGCTAGCTTATTGGTCTACGGTCACAAGTCTTTGTTCCGTTTGCATACTATGTGAACTCGTAATAGCTTCAAACCTAGCAAATATGCAAAAAGGCAGTAAGCAGTTTATTGCTTATTAGAGCCGGTTATTTATAAGTTTTATATATAGAAATTTGAATTCTAAACAACGGTACATTGAATATATGTTTCTGTGTTGATTTGACATTATAATGTTATTTAGATAGATTCCACCTCAAGGGAAAGAGGAAAGGATACTTTTAAAACTCTATGGATATTTACTATTTTAGTTTTAAGTGAAAACTGTTGAATATAAAATAGAATTTCAATAGTTGAATTCATGATTCTATCTAAGCTAGACTACCATTGAAAAACCTGGAAGCACTGGACGACCGTTTCATCCCAGTATGGGACTCCTCAGCAGTGCCCATTCATCGATTCATGATCTCACTCAAAAACTCAACAACCTATGCCATCATGTGCTTACTAGTGACTAGCTTTGATAGGTAATTCTCGGAGTTCTAATGACAAGCCGTGACCAGTGGCAATTAGTTACTGAAGACAATGGAAGATGATTGTGTAATTTCGTAGATTGGTTAAAGTTAGACATTACCACCGTTGGATGTCGGCCCATTGGTGTTTACAGGTTAAGCATTCGTGCGCGAGGCTGAAGTTCCTGAGTTTGAATCCCGCGTGAGGGATGGTGAATGCACACTGGTGAGGAGTCCCACACGAAGACGAAATGACCGTCCATCGATTCATGATCTCAACTATTGAAATTACTATAATATCCACAAAAAACCCCTTCTGATACTAATCAATATATGCTCACTGGTGACTGGCTTCAAGAACTACTTCTTGGAGTTCTAGTGAGAAGTAGTGATCAGTGGAATTCAACTGGGTCTGTTGTGAGATAGTAACTCACTGATGACAATGGTGGATGTGTGGCTCGATTTCGTGGATTAGTTGAAGTTAGACATTAACATCGTTGGACTCCGGCTCAGTGGTCTAGTTGGTTAAGCGCCTGGCGCGGGACTGATTGGCTCTGGGTTCGGGTCCCGCGAGGCGGGATCGTGGATGCGCGTTGATGATGGGTCTCACAATAGGACGAAACGGCCGTGCAGTGCTTCCAGGTTCTCCATAGTGGTCTAGCTTTAACTGACTCATGATCTCAACTGTTGAAAGTCTAACAATCACCGATTTGTCTTAGATTGACTCATGAACTCAACTATTAAAATTGCTACAATCTACACAAATCCCAATTCTGCTAAAATATAATTGCTACATTTGTTAAGTTGGTGAATATGACAAACCACATTGTAATCAATTAAGTGTTTTCCACAGCAACTTGAATTCATTTCAAATATTCATACAAATAGCTCGTTTTCCTATCCTTTCATAGACATTAACCGGGAACAACTTGATGACTATAATCGAAATGAAATACATATTCCTTTGTTTCATTTAATTTAATCTAATACAAATATCATCATTAATCACAAAACATTTTAATAGCGTTTCATAACTTCTTAACTTGTTATGATAGCTTATACAACACTAATTCTCTTTATGTTCTCATCTATTGATGATTTCATTTTAGTAATTTAACACTTTTTATTCGTAGTGTAGAGGTGTTGTGTAGATTGTTAAATTTAGCATTTCATATGGCATAGTGATTGCAGTTAGTCATCTATTGAAAACTAAGAAGTTAAAGACAAATATCTCATCCTAACATACAAATCTTCCATTATAAGAATCTATGATCACATGGGGATCAAACTCAAGATCTCCGTGTCTCGGATCACTTTCTTGATATTTAGACCATTAGGATGTTGTTATTCGGTGATCTATATTTGTAACTCTGGTTAATTAGTGATTATGAACAGCCCTCATCAATTGAGACTGGTGATATTTGTTTCACGTCCTACATAGTTTAGCTCCACTGATCTCACCTTCTCACTGGAACTAACCAAATTCAAACTCTAATGTGAAACTATAAACATTTATTAGTTTTGAAAGTCTTTTGACGATTATATATTTTCGGAAAGGGTTTTGTGGATATTATAGTAATTTCAATAGTTAATCGCTCGAGCGCGAGACTGATAGGTCTTGGGTTCGAATCTCGCGAGGCGGAATCGTGGATGTGCACCGCTGAGGAGTCCCATAATAGAACGAGACGGTCTTCCTGTGCTTCCAGTTTTTCAATGTTTGTCTAGCTCTAACTAACTCATGATCTCAACTATTGAGATTATATATTTCTCGATTTAACTTTTCTCTCCTATTTTGAATTTGTTCAGCTAGATTAAAAGGATTAAAAGTGTGTAGGAAACTTAAATATTAAAGACTGGATGAATGTATACAAAATTTGTCTATATACATTTTGTATTCAACTGGTTCCGTTGGGACTATTGTGGGTAATTACTTTGACCCTCTTATATGTACACTTTGCAAATATACGTGATTCGTTCAAGTTTCCACTACATGTTATCTCTTTCCTCTTAGTCAAATCTTCCTTTTTGAAATTCACTTGTTGTTAGTTGGTGACTTCATTATAAACTGATATCTATGAATAGAACTATAAAATCTCAGGATGAACTTGATGGTCCTTTTAATCCTCATGTTGGACTCTTTAATAATGTCCACACACTTAGCATCTTATATGTAATTGATTTAT